CTCTCTCTCTCTCTCTCTCTCTCTCTCTCTCTCTCTCTCTCTCTCTCTCTCTCTCTCTCTCTAGCGGTCATGGGAGTGGGTATCTTGTGCTCGCATCCCTGATCCGAATGTGTGTCGGAGCCGGCCTGTCGCTTAAGCAAGGAGAGAGGAGAAGAACCCATTCCAGGCTCTAGTCATGTTGCCTTTGGGAAATCTCCCCGTACAAGGGGACAAACACAACCGGGCGTGGGTGGAACGTGATGAAAGGTGTGCGGTGAGAACAAGTGGTTCCGACAAGCACAGAACAGGCCAGGGCGGGTGGTGGCCTTTGCGTGGTGATACCTTGCACGCTAGTGGGTTTGTCTTCGGTGGATGCCAGAGCGGGCAATAAGGATTTGCACGGGAAGATCTCTACACACAGAACAGGCCAGGGCGGGCGGTGGCCTTTGCGTGGTGATAGCTTGCACACTAGTGGGTTTGTATCGGTGGATGTCAGAGCGGGCAATAAAGATCTGCGGGGATGGTTTTCCCGTGTTCCCGACATCGTCCCAAGCACGTTTGCAACACCCCCCATCTCTTCTCGGCCTCGATGGAAGGTGACGAACGGAGTGTGGTGAGAACGAGTGGTTCAAACAAGCACAGAACAGGCCAAGACGGGGGTCGGCCCTTGCGTGGTGATAGCTTGCACGCTAGTGGGGGCAATACAGATCTGCACAGGAAGATCTCCGGGGGATGTTTTTCGCATGTTCCCAACATCGTCCCAAGCATGTTTGCAACATCCACCATCTCTTCTCGGCCTCCGCTTCACTCAATGCATCTGCGCGCTGAAACAAGCACAGAACAGGCCAAGACGGGGGTTGGCCCTTGCGTGGTGATAGCTTGCACACTAGTGGGGGCAATACAGATCTGCACAGGAAGATCTCCGGGGGATGTTTTCCCAGGTTCCCAACATCGTCCCAAGCATGTTTGCAACACCCACCATCTCTTCTCGGCCTCCGCTTCACTCAATGCATCTGCGCACGAATTTCACCTCTTCTGTTCCTCAGTCCCCCTGCTGTCATCTCGCACTTTGCGCACCCATGCGCATGCTGTAATGTACTCTCGGACTCTCCCCGCCTTCTCAGTCACCCCGATGGTTTCGTAGCCACATCGCCAAAGATCCCACCCCCAACAGGGATTGGGCACACGTGAGGCATGGCAAGGAACTCGGACTGGGCCGTTCGTCATGAGAGACAAAGAGACACACCATCTTCGCTGCCCAAATGGGTGAGATCGGGGGAAATGGTAGCATGCAAAACTAAGCCCTAGATGGGTGGAGAGATGTGGACAGCGATGGGACGGCCGTGCAGTGGGTTGCTCAGGTGACAACAGCAACCGTTGCAGCACTGGCTTGTCACACCAAGTCCATGTTCGGGAAGGCACTGCCGTGTGCCTTCACTGCATTGTGACAAGCCACTGCGGTGTGCCTTCACGTGACTCAGTGCATCACCAGGACAAGTGGGAGTCACTGACCTCCATTGATGGTCGCGCCACCTCCGCAACCAAGTCCATGTTCGGGAAGGCACAATGCAGTGGCTTGTCACAATGCAGAGGACGTACAACTGCACATTTTCGCTCATCTGCATGGTTGAGGGCACGCAATGGGTGTCCTGGGTGGGTCTAACGCACCTCCGCCCTTACCTTTGGAAGACACAAGGGCATCAACTCTTTAGGGAAGAGAAGTGGATGTTGGGGGTGGAAGGAAGGTCCAACAACATCACTGATGTTGTGCACAGACCTTTCCAATCAATGGACATGCGCAGAGGCTCCCATCCTGCATGGCGAGGGTGACACAACGGCGGCACTCAAAACCCCCGCTCGTTTTATCGTCTTTGCTGCAAGGACAGGCAGTGGAGGATGCTGCAAGAGGAGCGGCACGAATGGCTGTGGAGGATGCCTCGCCATCCCTAAGCCCGCATGTTGAGGGGCATGAACAACTACATGGCAAAAGCCCTGTGCAAGACGGTGGCACTTTCGTGGCGACGAGCCATGTAGTGTAGCAAAAGCCCTGTGCAGGACGGGGGCGCTTTCGTGGCGACGAGCCATGTAGGACATCACGACAAGCGCAGTGCCCGTCCGACAAGATCACCCACTGACCGTTGGAGGGGCACTTGGCAAGGAGCAGGCATGCGTGGAGGACGAACCAAGGGAAGCCCAGGAGGTGGGCACTCGTGGATTGGCTGGCAGTGTCCTACCAGCGACTCTGGCAGCCAGGGAAGATGCAATGGTGGCACCCACCAACATCATATTGGAAGGGTGGCCACAGGGATGATAAAAGGCATACGGGGGACGAAGCCACGGGGACGACAATGACGATTCACGTCTTCGGCAATCCTTCTTGCAGCGTGTTCCGCATTCAAGATGCTCGAGGGCGGAGATATGGGTGGATGACAGCAACTTTTTGGATACCCGGGCAACGTTCTGTTGGAAGCTTACATGGAGGCAAGGACTACTCATTCAAAAGAGAAAGTGGCGAGCAAACGCCTCCCCGAGCGTGCCTTACCATGCAACCGCCTCCCCCAAAGTGCTTCACCGCGCAACCGCCTAAGCTCACCATCAGAATCTCCAGCATGGCGGAGTTGCAGTTGGCAATCAGACATGGCAAAGTCGTGTTTGACATCGCACTTCACCTCATCCATGGATGAATATTCAAGTCCAGCTCTCGGCGGTTGGGATTCAAAGAAGCGCATCTTTAAATCCTTAAATCATTCGGCCCCGACGTGGCACGGGAAGTCCACAATCGGACAAGGATGGTGAGTGCAAAGGCATTTGCCATGACACGGAAGTTGCAGATGGACATCCCGCATGAGGTTTAGAGAGGCGCATTTTCACATCCTCAAATCATTCGGCGCTGATGTGGCGGATGCCATGGGGAAGTCCGCAATTGGACAATGGTTTCGGGTGCAGGGTTGGGGCCGCCAGTGGGTGTCCGACTAACGCAAAGACCGAGCTTTTTTTTTTTTTTTTTTTTTTTTTTTTT